GCCTCCCCGCAACCTTCCCCATCGGTAGCGCCCACGGCCCCGCCGCTCCGCCCTTCGGACGCGCTCCCTCCGACCGAGCACGTAGCCGGTGTCATCTCCGGTGGGTCTCGTCTGAAGCGCGGTTCCGCGGTCGCTACAGAAATGAGGGCAAAAAAGAAAGGCGAGGCCGGGATCGATACAGGCGTTAATAGCTTCGTTCCTATCTTATCTCCCTGCCATTTTGCAAAGTGAGAAGGCTTAATGTTAAACCTCTTAAAGCAGGTTATTCTATAATAAACAAGGGCGAAACGTTTTGCTACCTGGGTCTCGGAGGAGGCAGCAGCAGCGGCTGCCGTGGGGGCAACACGCGTGTTTACCTGCCACGGTCGAACCCCAGATATTCAGACACAAATGTGGCCGATAATTCAAGATGAAATACAACGTGTATTACTCTTGAAAAGAGGAATTTTCTATCCTTTCCTCGGTAATTGAGGTCATTCAGCCAGCAGGGTTCACCTGGAGTCCAGAGTGCGATACACACGTAACTCAAAGCTATTTTATCTTTTGTGCTGATAGTCAAGATCTCGGCTATAACATTGACATCAAACTCTGTCTGGGCGAATGACGAAGAGTGGTGCAAAACGTAAACTTTTGACCCTCAACTTTTTGACCTGCAGTTGTAACGCCCTTAACCACAAAGATATACAAAAGCTATGCAGCTTCTTTTAGGAGTAAGAGACTCGCACTGTTTGTTTCAATAGTTCTGCCGTTTCCCCCAGCTTTCTAAGGGCTTTTTTTTTTTTCTCTTTTTCCTTCTTTTTTTCTTTTTTTTTTTTTTTTGCTGCTGAGAAATCGGATACTTTCGCATTTTTAATTATTGCTTTTTTTTTTTTCCTTTCCTTTTCTTTAATCTCGCGGCTTTGTAAAGTGCTGTTAAATCAGTTCGCACAGCCTTTCGGCAGCGTTGGAGGGGAGCCTGTTACTCAAAGGCGTTATACGGTTACAATTGCAGGTGAAATGCTGGGTAAGTTCTGGGCGTGAGGTTGGAAGGAACGTAGCGACGAGCGTTGGGGGAAAAGCTGCAGCGCTCTGCTGCGAGGGGCTTAGTCATTTCGCCTTGATTTAAACATAAAGAAACAACTCTAATTGTTTGCGAAGCCTTGTCTAGGCAAACGAGTTGACTGTGAACTTGGTCTAAAGCGAGCTCTGCTGGTGATTCCTAGGGTGTGCAGATTTATCTTTTCTGCATTTACTTAACCTGGCAGTGAACTGCACGGGCTGCCATTTGTTATCCAGAGACAGACTTCACCTCAAGCAAGGACTGTTCCACAAAATTGCAATAATTACCCAATAACCTTCATAGCAAATATTATTATTGAAAAGACATTTTTTGGGGGGGAGGGGATATAGGAAAGATTCCTTATGCGTGCTATAAGGCGAAATCCTTGCGAATCTCACACGCTCTATGTGTCGGGTTTGATATTGTTCGTGCGTGTAGCTACAGGAACATGTGACTGCGATGGTCCACGAGTGTTTGCCTTCCAGAGAGACATTAGTGAGGATGCTTTAATTTGAAATGGATAATGTTTTCAAAGATGACCAGGCAGCTGTGGGAGCTGTATTTTTGCGCTCTGGCAAGCAACTCTGGCGACAAATTGGGGAGATTTTAAGGGCAGACGAGAAAAAGAGCTAGGAAAACAAAGCGAGGTCTTCACTTGGGCAGGAGATTTTCTTGTGCCTGCATTTAATGCGTTAGATCTGTATTTGCGGGGAGGGAAAAGGCATTGCTCCAGTATCCAGGGTTTGAAATCGAAACCTCCTGATCCGCCCCTCCTGATCTGTTCCATTCAATTTCCCATGGAGCAGATTGCAAACCCCCCTATTGTCACCCTTCCACAGATACACACTTATTAAATGTAAGGAAATGGCAGAATAATAATTTCCCCTTAATGTTCTGCAATTAAGGAGTTTGCAGGGCTGAGACAAGGCTCCAGAGCTGTAATTTACGGATGACTTTCCATCGGATTGTTATACTTCTGTTTTAGGGAAAGTTATGCCTTGCAAAGTCGCTGGTTACACACATTCAGAGAGTTGCCTAATCTTTAATTGGCCTTACGCTTAGACGTGACACACTACACTCAAGTATTTCTTTGAAAGGATTAGGTAAACTGTATTTCAAATCGCCGAACGCTACTTGCCACGCCTGAAGTAAAACAAACTCGCACGCATTAATCGCCCAAACACAGCAGAAAAATACTGTGCGCAGATAAGACCCCTCTCCCGATTCCCAACGATTATTCTCCACGACATTTTCCCTCGGAAAACAATCAGGACCCGGGAAAATTTTGGTAGATTTCGGCAGTCCGGCGTTGCTTGAATTTCAAATTTCAAAGCGGATTAGAAAATCTTAATGCATTTCTGGATTTGAATGGCTTCGACTGTCCTGCTAACGACAGGGCAGGGCCAGAAATATGGAGAAGTTGTCATTGCCAGCTAACTTTCTTTTGTTGTCACAGATTTTCTTGCAGTACGGGCAGGTTTGTACGCTTGTGGGTTTGGGGATATTTTTCTTTTCCGTAGTTCTTGAGTCTCTGTACACTGCTTTATGCGGAACAAGCTCCAGAAGCCACATTCAAAAATGTGAAAATATGTAGTAGCGAATCTTTTCGCTCTAGACAGTGAAAAATGACAATCCGCGATGAGATCCAGGTTCCTAAAACATTAGTTGAACGGGTGTGCGGCTGTGTTTGTATATTCACCAGATAGCTCAAATAACGCAGTGTCGTTGAATACTGAGTAATCGCAAACGGTTTGTGTCTGGTATCACGCCCGTTTATAAGCGGAGGATTTTCCTCGGAAAAGGACCCGTATATAAATGAAACACAAACTTCTAAAGGGTTTTCATGCCTTTGCCTCGAACTATAAAATGTTATGGCATATAACATAATACAATGCATGTCTATCATATATAGCTTTCTGATATTCCTGTTGACGAAAACGTGACAGCTAGCGTACTACAAAATCTCCAGCTGTTTATTACGGAAATGATTTTCAAACTTGCATTGGATATGCACTTTTAGAGCCTTTCCCTTTTTTTAATACAAAGTACATTCATATGTGTTTGTTTAGCGTTCCTAGGAAAGATACACAGACACAAAGGTTTCGGACTTCATTTATCTTTCACAGGGGAGTGACTCTAAATATTAAATATTTGTAAAACTGTGAGATCTATGAGCTGAGTCAACCTTAAATACTACCGTTTCTTTAGCGCTAAAGGCAAATAAATTAAAAATAGGGATCAGTCGGCAACGTGCAGACCGTGTAGAGGCACAAAACAACCTTACCCTTCCGCACCCCCATGCCTTTCTTTCATTTTTGCTCACGGTAGCAGATACAGCCTAAACTGCAATATTCAAATGGGATAGCACTAGCGAAATAAAACAAAGCCCATCTCCCAGCTCTCACCAAACCACCCCGTCCTGCTTCAAACCTGAGTTTATGGCACGTGAAGGAAAACAATGTGATCTGCTGAATCCCCATTACTCCAAACCTGAGCAGAGAACAAGACACTCACAGCAGGTTTGGACGGAGAAAGAGAGAGAGAGAGAGAGAGAGAGAGAGAGAGAGAGAGAGAGAGAGAGAGAGAGAGAGAGAGAGAGAGAGGGAGAGAGAGATAGATAGATAGATGATTTTGGAGGCAATTCTCAAATCTCTTTCCTGACCCCTGACTACTCGGTCCGCACCCCTGGAGATCACTCGCCTAAGGAACAGCTCTGAGGATAAGGATCAGGCCTTGATGCTACCCAGAGAAAGACAGAGTTCTTTTCACCCTTTCATTCAAGTCCTGGAAATTCAAAGACTAAAGTTAAATCCGGCCATAAAGTTTATTGCTGAGTAATCACACTCTAGTGAGAACAGTCCACTTAAATAAAAAGAATGTTGAAGTAAACACGCAGCTGGGGCCTACCCCACAATGGCAGCCAGCAATATAAGGCAGCAAGAGAGAGAGCAGAGCTGGGGGGATATTTACAATCTTCAATAAACCAAGCCCTCATCTCATAATTTGCAGCACTCTAATGACCTGTAGTCTCTTGTATTAATGCTACAAGTTACAGTCAATTGGTTCGCTTTAAAAAAAAATTGTCACAGGAACATATATATGTATACACACATACACACCCTTTGTATATATAATACACCAATATTAGACATACCTATGCATGTGCACGGCTCTATGCAGGCATATATGTCTATTTTCACATGCATGCACACATGCACATAATATTAATATATTTATAGTTATGCAATTACATATCAGATCTGGAAAAAGTTACAGTAACGTTATAAATGCACATCCCCGAAATACGCTACGTGCTTGCAGACAGACATGGATACACAGCTAAAGCTTTCTGCACGACCCAATGAAGGAAACAGGAATATTAAGCACTCCAGTACAGTCTGTGCCATTTTAATACTAGCTCTGATGTGCAACATATTTCACCAATGCAAAGATTATTACCATATCAGCACGCCTCCAACTCTATCATGCCTGCATAAGACACTGCCCAGATATTATCAAACCCTATCTATTTTGTTTCCCCTTTTTTTAATCGCCTGCAGTAACTACCCTTTGCTAAACAAAACCTCTCCAAACTTGGAGAGTCTATTGGAGCAAAGGAAGTAATTATCTTCTGCGGTAGTCAAAGTGATTAAAGCTAGGCCCCAAAATCCATCTCTGCCAAAGTCGCTTATTGTGGTTTACTTTGATTTGATCGCGAAAATAGAGAGCTAGCTGCTGCGAGGGAAGGGACGGGAGGGATCTGCTGAGCAACCTGGAGCGTTAGTGGGAGATCCTGCCTCTCGGCCTCGCCGGGACCGTCCTGACAGGCTCCGGGCGGGGAGGAAGGCAAAGAGAAAGAGAAAGAGAAAGAAAGAGAGGCGAGAGGCAGCGAGAGCGAGCGGGATCCTCGGCTTCCCCACTCTACAAATAAACTTAAAGGAACTTGTGCACAAAACTTACCTTTGACTTGCAAGGAGCCATTTTTCATACAGTACTGAGAACTTGTTGTTTGGATACTTCTGTCCCTAAACCTGACAATTTGAATGGCCAGGAGGCACACGTAGCCTGCAAAAGAGTCAAATGAAGTCCAGCGTCAGTGAGATTATATGTTATGTGGTATATAATGTTGGATGTCAACTCCCCAAAACCATAAAACTTACTTTAATGGCACCACGTGACTTTTTATAGCCAGTGAGCCTATCTGTCTGTGCTATGGATGATTTTACGATCTAATTCATAGACAAAACCCTATTCATTTGGCACCCAAATGTCATATAGCCGGAACTGGGGCTTATAAAGTTTACTGTTTTATAACTTTTAAGGGAAGGCATCAATGTAACCAGTCACTAAATGTGCAAATCTTTAGTTGCTCTTAGAAGCTCAGAAGAGTTAACCATTCAAGCTCTGACGGGGTAAGTAACATTGCGATTATAGCAAACTAACTGTAGCGAAGAAAACCAAAAATCTTTAAAGGGTGGAAAGTGGGAACGTGGCTAGCGAGGGTTACTAATAGACGCAGAGGGCTCGGACACGGCTGTCCTGCAAATATACTGAATTAAACCACAGGAGAAATTCTAGAGCGATGCAAACACGCCTTGGAGTTAGCAGCGTGTTTTAACAAAGCACATGGCTTGTTTTGTTTTGTTTTGTTTTGTTTTCCCCAACCATTAGCAAACAACTAACAGTTGATTCACCCACAAAGGGTGTTGATTGTGGTCCTGCGACGCAGCTTTCCACCTAGCGAGAAACCAGTAAGGAGGAACTTGCGGTCAAACTTTCAATTAGAAATCCTGGTAGCGGGCGATCGCAGCATCTACCATTTAGAAAGTGCAGCAGGAGCCAGGTAAAATATTATCACAAGCTCTGCATGGGTTAATTTTTTTTTTTTTTTTCCAGAGGCAAATCAGGAAGCACAACTTCTTGCTTTGCACAAACCAGATCACGAAAACTTTACAATAGAAAGTTTATTTTTTTTGTTGATTTCCAGTCAGTTTTTTTTAAAAACAAATACAAAAAAAAAAAAAGCTGATCACAGTTTGCTCAAACAGCCAGACTTTGACTATATTTGTAACTTTGTTCACAAAAAACATACATCACAGAAGCTGCGCTTAATAAGAGCCACTTCTAAGAGTTCGTGCAAAGAGTCATATACAAAGGCACAGCAAGGACATACTGCTTGGAATCACAGTTTTCGTCACAGATTCACTATTCACTACACGTAGGACAAGTTCAGTTGATTTCATCATTTCACCTCTACAACAGCATTAATTACACAGGAATTATATAGGTAGTTTGAATAAAAATATTTTTAACAGCTTGGAGCTATACAGACATTAACACTTGACCACACATGCACAGTTAAGCAGGTTGAGTGCAACACATAACATTTGTACTAAACCGGGGGAGGGTTTCTTTCTCTCCTTTTTTTTTACCTTCTTTTTTTTGTTCTTTTTTGTTTAGTTTTGTTTTGTTTCAACAGTTACTTCAAGTAACACAGCTCGCTTCATATAAATAAGTTAAAACATCTATTATTTTTTTCAAGACAAAGCCATTCAAGACAAAGAAATGTACGATAAAAGCAGATCTACTTATACACGCGAGAGAATGGTAATAAACAGGCTCATGATTAAAGGATGAATAAGGGCGACAAGAACAGGGTTTCTTCACAGAAGTAACACAAGGAAGTTTTAGAAAGTCAACTTAGTACTGACATGAGACGCACGGTCAGCTAATACTGCTCAGTACTTTTAATTGATCAAACGCTTAGGGACGGAATGCCCCTCCTGCAGCTGCCATGCTCATACTTTTCAGCTTATTATCCTTTTTCCATTTCATTCTCCTGTTTTGGAACCAGATCTTTATTTGTCTCTCTGAGAGGCAAAGAGCATGTGCTATTTCAATCCTTCTTCTGCGGGTCAGGTATCTATTGAAGTGAAATTCCTTTTCCAGCTCCAAGGTCTGGTAGCGGGTGTAAGCAGTCCGAGCCCTTTTCCCTTCTGGTCCCCCTATGTTGTCTGGAAGAGAAAAGTACAGGATTTAGGTTCTCAGCAGCCACTCGGAGCCGTCGCGTCTTATTGCAGCTACCAGCGACCAGGACCGTTATTCTCAGTCCCGCTTGGTTTTTGTTTTCTGGTTCGGATAAAGGCTCAACAAGTTTCCCCCTCCAGTCCCTTTTAGGAAAGGCATGGGGGAGGGGGATTTGGTGTCTCGGTAAGTTTTCGCTTGGATTTGGGGTTCGATTTTTTTTTTTTAATTGATTTTTTTTTTCTTTTTTTGAAAGGCGAATCCCC